GGGCAGTGTGATAAGTGGAGATTTCTCGGTTGAGTCACAGCTCAAAAATAATTTCCAGTTGATGTTCAGACAATTAATTACAAGAAGTCGAAATTCTCTGATATTTCTTAGTCTACATACTTGAAACCATATCCTGAAGGCTAAGAGTTTATATCTTATATTAAATTCTTATTATTCTTGAGTTGGATTTAATTAAACGCCTAGCAGGCAAACTGCAGTCAACACTTCTTCTGACACCAGACAAAGAATCCTTTGTTTCTCAGTTAATTTCGGGCAGCAAAGTACAAATTTCGGATGCATTTCCACAAGAGCACAGCCACTGCTTTTGTTGTTCACTTATAATGAGCTTCCGCTGCTCGGTTGTTGAACAAATTTTGTGGAGCTTTTTTGTGAGCCCTGTACTAGTATATATATTATATGCTGAACAACCCACACATATGAGACACATTTGATATGCAACGAACTCTGTCCCGACTCAAAACCCAACCCGCTGTTTATATTTTGTTCGCCTCTTGTTCATTATGTATTTAATTACGCTTTTGTGCATTCTACAATGCACATGCACAGGCAAACACTAAGCCGCAAAAAAGTTTGGCCAGAGCATGAAAAAGTTGTTCTGAAACGCGCCGCCTCCGTCCTCAAACCCTTTGTCTACTTAAATGTCATTAACAATTTTTGCAACGCCCCAACAACTTGAAAACTTTACGTGTAAAATAAACAAATTATAGTTTAATATAAATAATTTTGGAGATTAGTGTAAAGCTTAGTGAATGTGTTGGGCAAGAGGGTAACCCCTGGAAAATGTAAAATTTATTTAAATATTTTCTAACTAACTTTAAAGTTGATATACTAACTGCTCCTTTAACTATATTAAATATGTCAAGTACAACAATATATTTAAAAGGGCTTAAACATTTTTATAAAATTAGTGAACTATTTGAATTGCATAACTAGTTCAATTGCATTTTGAGTTGACAGCAACAAAACCTTTGTTCTTCCCACAAAAAAAAACTCTAAAAAATCATAACAAAACGATTTTAATTAATTTGTGCACTGTGGGTTATGAAAGCAATTTAGAAACATCTCCGCCCAATTTTTCTATCATTAAAAATATTTTATGCGGCTTGCACATTACATAATTAGAAACCAGCTGAATGCATATGCTGGTACTAGCAATTGTTAGTACTGATTGTGGAAATGGAAATGGCGTATGCCATTAGGCAAATCAATAAATATTTGATTATATTTGTTGATTTGCAATTATTTGGTTGAATGTAATGAATAAATTACAAATCGGCAATCAAATCGTTCAACCAGAAATGTAAAATAAATGAAAGTAAAAAGAATTGCGAATTTTGGTTTTCAATAGTCGAAATTAAACATTGAATTTAAAATGATTTGTTTCTTTCGCGTTTTTATTTTATTGCGAGCCCGACAAGCCTAGTTGACAAAACCAAAATCAATGATTGATTAATGGAGGAATTCTGTTTGCGGTTTCGAATTTTTAAATATTTTATTTAACTCTTTTTGATCAATGGAAACTGCCCCTTAAATTTTATTATATAATTTTAACTATCAACATCCTTATCCTGCTTTGATTTCCCTTCCTGCTTTCTATCTCGCTCTCCCTGTTAATTTCCCATGGATCCTTGAAATATATTTATTTGTTTTTCGATCCCCAGAAGGGGACCACTCTTTGTTAAATGTCTGGCATGTTGTTGGAAAATTGTATTCTATTTGTTCCGCCGTCAATTCCCCAAAGTTTCTGGCAATTTCCTCAGTCGGCCACTTTGAGTTTCCCCATCGCCCGGCCAATTGTGCATTATTAGCTATTGTTTGAGGCATTTCTGGCCCGTTGTGCTGCCTTGATTCTATGCTCGCTGTTCGGCTAATTCAATTATGCACCGTCTACGTGTGTGTTTGCATTGCTTCCCTCCTCTGGAGTGCAATTGCAATGATGCCCATTACACACCTGTATGCACACACTTCTCGGCACTCAGTCACGCATACGACCGCCATGCCAGCGGAACGAGTTTATAATAAGAATAATAATAATATGTTGGCAGCATAATGCAAAAACATTCTGCCATTTATTTACGCCAGGCCAACAAAGGATGTAGGGGAAGCCGGAGAAAAGCCAGCCCACGGTCGGGCACGTAATGGAAATGAGTTAAAAAGTGTTGGCCTTTAGCCTTTCACATATGATGCATTCAGGAAGTAAAGGGGAAAAGGAGCGGGCCTTTACACGTTCCACGTGCTCGGAGTGAAAATGAGTGGCACTAATTTGAAGTGACATGAAATTAAATTTAAATAATTAAACAAATGCCTTTTGTGCTTCTACTTATGGCTCGGGGCTTCCTTTTTCATCACTCCGACTCGTTTTCAATTAATTTCGAAAAAGCCCAGCCCTAGGAGGATTTGACGAGCCGAGCAACTGAAATCGATTGGCCAGAAGGAAAAAATTTATATAAATATATAATGAAACCTGAAATATTATGTATGCGACAATAAGTTAAGCAATGAAAACTATTTTAAAATGCCTTAGGTTCCACAGTAAAATATGACTACTTAAGAAAATTATTACTTATTTCCAGATTATCACTTTAAGTTATTTAAAACAATAACAGAAATGCACACCCTCGAGGCAAATCAGCTCACTTCATTTAATTGTATACAAATAAAGCGACACCTAAAATCGAGAGCATTGAAAACAATTACGTGAATAATAAAACACTTTTGTGCGATTATTTTCCCCTTTGGGGGCTTAGCATACTTTTCAGCATGCCAATAGCTCGGTGACAATTTTAAATTAAAATAAAAGCACATAAATGCCTGTTTACTTAATGTCCTGTTCAATATTTAAATAGCTGCGACAAATATGTGGCCGAGGAATTCCCTGGTTAATGAAAAATGTCGAATCAAGACCAATAATTTAATGTGTAGGCCAAAAAGGACAATGGCCAGTGGTGGGAAGTGCAGTATTGTGCATGTCAGGCTATAGATTTAATTAATGTTAACACGACGACATTGACAGGCACACAATACAAATAGTTTGAGACCACACACACACACAGACACTCACATGAATACAACCGCACACAAAGAGACTCTACTAGGTCCTGCTGATGACTGACAAATTGAAATGGTCGCTCCTGGCCGCCTAAGTGACTGACTTTGACTCGAAATATAAACCTATATGCTTGCATATATCCCGAAAGTGTGTTTGTGTGCGTATGTTGCATTTGCTTAATGTCCATTGTCCTGCACACACACACACACACACACACAAAGAGTTGAGTCTGTGTGGGTGAGCTTGTCATGTCTGGAGTTTGCAGCTGCCATTTGGTTTGTTGGCACTCAAGTTGACTGGCCGGGTTTATTGTAAACATGTGTGCTAACAACTCAGGATGTTTAGGACAATAACACACACTCGCTCACCCGCTGGTTGGCATTAAAACTGTGATTTACTAAGGCCAAGTTAAAGTGTGACCAACCAGAAAACCTCATCAATGTATCTGGGCACACCCGGATAGCTGTAAACAATTCCTCAGCTCAGAAACTAATCAATCAACTTATAAAACTGTTAACTTTTCTACACTTGTCGAAAGTTTTTGCAATTAGGTTAGGACTACTTAAATTTGTATATTTATTTTCTACAGTCATGTTAAAGTTGGGAAACTAAAATAATTAATTAATAAACTTGAATTTTTTTTAAAGAAATTAAATTCTTTATTTAAAGGAACTTTTATTTTAGTGACCATATTTGGGTATTTAATATTTAAGAAATGTCTTTAAATTTATGTAAGCGCTAATATTTTAAATTCGTTCAAAGATAATTTATAATATTAAAATTAATTTCCTCTGTGGATGTCAGTTGTCCAACTGAAAGTTTCCACCAACTTCCCAACGCTATAAAAATTCCAATTTTGCCAATCCACTTTGATTCACTTTCATAACTTTATGAGAGCGCCATAAATTTCCGGGCAGAGCCCCCAAATTAATTGCCACTGAGTTTTTAATTAACTAAAACTAAATTTCCTCCCCCTCGAACCATGCCAGCAATTTGTTTGGCCACGCGCTGGTCTTTGTATTAATAGCTCGTAAAGATAAATTTTCCAAAAACCTAATTGGTTTATTTGTCTGGCATAAAATTTTAGCCCCAGCCGTGGAAACATTTTCCGCGCTGCAGGAGCTCTGCAATTAAAGCGCTGAAAACAATGCAAAAAAAGGCGTTATGGAAAAAGAACAATCGTATAAATGAAATGGCAAACTTTCTGCCAGTCAGGTTGATTTTCGTTTTGGCTTAAATCGCTCGATTTGGAGTTTTACACAATTTTTCAATTTCATAGGGCAAACTTTTCTCGATTTCCCGATTTTCCGCTGATGTCATTGCGAGCCACGAAGTTTTACTATTATTGCCATGGGTTTTATTGCCGACTAAAGCAAAGTGTGTTGTCATTTATCGATTTTATAGCGACCGCACACGGCTCCCCTTCACCCATCACCAATCACCCCTTACCTCATCGCTTACCGAACGTGTTCCGTGCCTTATCGAATGGCCATATCTATATGGACAACGCCTCTGTTTGATTTGCACGCATTAAACTGTAATCTGGTCAAGGTTTATATGGATTGTTGTTTCTGTTCTCCCTACGGGATTGCTAAATGTTTTGTTTATATCCATTTGCCAATTCATCTGGAACCACGCTGGCCAGCAAATGATCTCAGCCTCGAAGGGGAAAGGCAAATATTTTGATTGATATTCCGATTTTATGACTCAGTTGAGGAATGCGAAATCGCAGAGAGGCAAGATCATCTCTATACTCAGATGGATTTGTTTCGAAAATATGGGCCACTAGCACGTATATAGAAAAATGTTCAATAAATCTGAATTAAAACTGCCAATCGTATCATTACTATGAGAAACAGTTTTAACATCTTTTTTTCACTCTTAAATTATCTGAAAAAATATCCATCTAGCATAAATAAAAACACAGACATTTGAAGTTTGATTCGTTTCATTTTTTCTTGGCTTCATTTTCATTTCGCCTAATCCAATACGACTTTTTTTGTGCTAAATGTTTACACATGTAGATTGGTTTATACAAAGGATAAAATGGACTTACGAACATTTATACAGCATTTAAAAAATAAGTTTATTAGAGTTACAACAATATAAGTAGGTAGGTTTGTTTGTGTGTCGAATGCATAAATGCGAAAATACAGGAAAATCATGATGCAATTCATATAACTATGTATTTATGTTTGAGTGTTTCGTGTGTTTTGTATGTGTTTGTGTGTTTTGTTGCTTCAACAACTTGAAGTTACATCTTTTTTGTGAGTCAATAAATATTTGTTCTTTAACATGAATAAAAAATAAAATTCTGTCAACAGTAATGGAAAAACTTAGCTATTTCCCATTTACAACAGTACATAACATTTATATATATATATATATATATGTATTTATGTATAAATAGATTCGTAATAGGTATATGTAGTTAGATATATATCAACAATTGCCCAGGTAGCAAGTTTTTAGAGTAAACGTAATAATAACTACAGATATAAATATAAATTTTAATGTTAATAGTTCTCTGTTCCTATCAATTCATTACTTCATTCTATACCCATAATCCCCATCACACTTTTCATATCCTTCTGTTTATAACAACAACAACTAGGGTTACAAATGGCACATACATTTCAGATCAAAAAGCTTATACAATATATAGTAGTATCATTGTTTTTATGCTCAAAAAACAAGTAAAAAGTATCTCTTTACTGGCGTGAAATTACATTTCGACGCTTTTAACAAATAAAATGTTTCCCTTCTCTGGCTTTTGTGGACAACAAAAATACTCAGTATTATTGCTTTTAAGGCGGTGCCCGGAATTATTAAAAAAGAAATCCCGGCATCATCAAATGTGGACCACAAGTATTTCGGATCATTGTTAACCATTGTTAGAGCACGGCTCCAGAAAAAGTACAAATAAACAAATTGACCAAATAATTCCAATAATTCCATATTCCAAATTATTCGGCCGACGACTCACTCCTTTTTGTTGAGAAAGTGGAGGACATAGTGGAGTACCAGGTCGTAGCAGTACTTGTACTCGGTCATGTTCTCCACTAGCTGCGGACGATGTCGGCGTACAGTCTTCACCGCCTGGAAGACATCGACCTCGCCGTGCTGGATGACCTGCTCGATGCACGCATTCGCGGCACAGTAAACACCGGCACGACTGCGACCATCGGGCGAGACAACGCAAACAGGGCCGTAGTCCACCTTATTCCGCCAGATCTCGACCATGTTCATGAGGTAGACCAGCGAGTTCGTCGAGCTGGGCACCTTGTGACCCATGGGCCAGCAGGTCAGCTGGAATAGTTGGACGGTTCGAGTCGGGGCCTTGACCCCGGCCATCATTTCGGTAAGTGAGACGATCTTCTTGTTGATCTTGAACTCCCACTGTTTGATGTTTGTATAGCTCTTGGACATCACGTAGTGCACGGAGAATACCGGTCCGTATTTCTCCATTTTCGATTTGTTGGGCCAGAAGGAGGGATACTGTTGCGATTGCGCGGGCGGCTGACACAGGACCACTACGGCTGAGCACTCCTGATCGTAGACCAGGGACCAGAACTCACCCAACGTATGTTTCATGGGCCATTCCGTGACTATGTACTCCCTAGGCTTAGTATAGCCATCTACGAAAACGGAGTTTATGTAGTCCGTAAAGGCATTGCCCTGAAAGGAGGTCAGGTAGGGCCTGAAATTATCTGGAGGTACGCACAGGACATCCCTGTTCTTCTCTCGATTATCCGCTCTGTGACCACCAGCACAATCCCCAATAGTAAATCTGGGGGTTTGTTTACATATCTGATCGTACTCCGCCTGATATTCGTTCATTTTGGTTCCGGAATTCCTCCTGGCCTTGGCCTTCAAGCGATCCGATAACTCTGAGACGGGAAACCATGTCTTGCCGCAAATAATGTGCTCTTCCAGGGTATCATAGATGAACTTGTACTGCTCCACATTCTCGACCAGACCCTTTCGGGACTGTCGCAACTTCTTGAGGTAGCCAAATACATTGAAGCACTCCTCCTCTTCAGCCAGCTCCAAATTTGCATCGATGGACATATAGACTCCTGATCTGCCACCGCCATCGCTGCAGTGCACCAGAATAGGACCTCTCATGTCATCCTCATCCTTGATGATATTTCCCACCACCAATCGCACTCTTCTCCGGAACTCTAGCAGGGCATTTGAGAAGGGACAAGAGTGGGAGTACCATTCGGTGTAGTGAAACTGCAGGATCATTCTTTCATCGGTAACCTCCTGCTTTTCGTTCATCTTGTAAAGCCTAAAGGTTCGTATGTGGAAATTGGCAAGCTGCTCTTCCCTCACAATATTTATGTAGATATCACCGTACTGTTCGTGAACATCCATATTGGGTGGCCAGTACTGGTGACACATGACCTTGGCGAAGTCAAAGGTTTTTGTCAGCATCACAATGGCACTAATATTTTCTTGCCAGACCATTCGCCAGTAGGCCTGCACCGTCTCCTCAACAGGACCCTGGGTCACTATGTAGGCATTGGGCTTGAGCAAACTGTCCACATAGGAGGCATTCACATAATCGGAGTCCTGCAAACCACCCACTTTCTCCAGCACCACACGATTGTAGTCGTAGGGAATGCACTTTGGATTCTGATTCTTCTCCAGGTTGTTCTTCTTCATCGCATGCCGGCAGGTGTTGGTCTCAACTTTGGCCGCCGTTTGGAACTCCAGTTTGTAGAGCACTGGGAATTTCCTGCGTAAATCGCAGAGCTTAAGGAAATGGCGGATATCTATGGGTCCATTGGGTATCGTCTTTGACAGAGAATTATTCTCATCGCGTGCCTCGAGCTTTATCCTTTCAAACGATAGCAAACCGCTGTTGAGCATACTTAGTTTTATGGTGTTCGGTATGGAGACGATGCCTCGGCTTTTCCGTTGCTGCTTCTCCACATCGTCGTAGCGAGCGGATGACCTCGACCTGTGTTTTCCAGCCTTTCCACTCGCACCACTGCCTCCGCCCCCTGTGGCCGCCGTCATTTCTCCTCCTGCTGCTGGTGTTTTTTCTTCGTTTTCCGCTGCTTCTGGGTTTCCCACAAGCTGCTGCGTTGTCATCATCAAAATCACGATGCCAGAAAGTGTCGTCGTCGTCGTCGTTGTTGGGTGTTTTTTTTTTTCGTTTCGTATAGAGGAGGAAGTAGTCGATTAGTCCACTTGCCTCTGCGTTTTCAACATTTTTTCTTTTATTTTACGCTTTGGGTTAGTACATATTGCATTCCAAAAAACATGGGCGGGTTAGTACTCGAATTTGTTAGCTAATTTGTTCACCTTTTTGTGGCTTTATGTGCGTTGTGTTGCGCGTTTGGTTCGTTATAAAAAGAATTTCGTGTATATTTTGTGTATATTCGTATTTTCTTGGTTTTCCTTCCTCCGTCTCGTTCCCTCGATTCCATTCACTTCACACAAAAAACGCGACGAGTCGATATTCAGCAGCTGCCTCCTCGTTGTTGGGGCGAAAATCGTTCGGCGACTGAAACTGCGGCGCCCCAAAGAGCCGATTCGCATCGAAAACTAGCCTTTTCCTACCACAAACACCGAAGGAAATTCATGGCGAGAGCGAGGAAAACCCAGCGAGAGAGCATCGGAGCGCGATTGTGCTCCGCAGAGAGCCAGTTTTCACCATGGCCCATGTGACTGGCGCCACTTGATGGGCGCAAGAGCGGTGGGGCGGGTATTTTTAGACAGCGCGGGCGGACAGCGCTAAGTGGCTACCGTGGGTTTAGAGATAGTGATAATATCTAAGTTCAATATATACAAAATTTATTTAGGATAAAAACCTTTTTCAGTTCAGATTTTTAAAAGTTTTTATGAGATGAGCAAAACAACCATATTGCAACCCGGAGAAAATGTCAGTAATATATAATTTTAAATCAATTTTTAGCTAATATATATATATTTTGTGATTGATTCAAAATGTTAGTTCTAAGTTGACTCTGCAATATTTAAACTTTCAAAAATTAAAAATTATTCTTTTAATTTACCCAATCTTATAATATAATTTCCAGATTTTTCCGCTTATTACCATCACTGTTGAATTCACCTTATAGTATGAATGAAAATTTCGATTTTCCCATTGCCTGCTCATTTCAGCTTCGTCTAAAATTTTCCATTTAGCTACGGCATGTTTTTCTCTCTTGTTGGCTATTTCCCGATTTCCTTCGCTCTCGCTGGGGAAATTCTCTTGGCGCCTGCGCCCTTAGCAAGTTTTTCACTTTTCATTTTCGTATTTTGTTCGTTGTCTATTGTTTTGAGATGTGTAATTGAAAATTCCGCAGGTTAAATGAGGAAGTGACGCTGGTATTCGTTGTCATTTTGTTTTCCATATTTAATTGCCAGGCCTTTGGTCGGTGGAAAATCGAAAGCAAACACGCAGAAATATATCATTTTTATGCATAAATAATTCGAGAATATATTTCGCCCTCAGTAATTTACATTTCCTGTTAGCAAGCAGCCAGCTGTGATGGTTTGTTGATATGTTCGCTGCCATTGTTATTATTGTTATTCTTTTATTATTTTCAATGTGTTCGGTTTGTTTGGGTGCACATTTTTGTACGATTTATTTCCGCATGCACTTTGTCTGTCCCGGCGAATCACTGCAAATAGCATTTGGCACTAGCCCACGGAAAAAGAGGAAGCGGAGGCCCGTCAAGAGTAGCCATCAAGAACAAACAGCACCAACAAATTGCAATTTCGCTGTAATTGTGTTTGAACCTCATCATTGGGGTTCGAGGTGCTCGAGAAAATTTCGAATTTCAAAATAATTACACGCGAATCCGACACGAGTGCTAAAAACATCTAGAATAAGCACTAAAGTAAAAATGCAAGGGATGTATATACGATTATATATATTTAAATGAGTTTGCCTGCGTGCACTGACTGACTGAAGAAGGCGAATTTTGATTAAAATTTGATTGTCATGTGGCCTTGATGCTTGACAGCATTAAGTTTGATGACCTCATGCTGATTGAGAGCCCAGAAACTCAAATGGAATTTCAAGTTCAGATGGCTTTTCGTCGAAAATTTTGATTGGAAAAATTGCATTGGGGGAAATTTAAGCAATAATATGTAAATGGGTCATGATTTATTTCTTGGAATTACTCATGAGTGTACAAAAAAAAAAAAAACTTGAACATATAGTGGAATATTTTTCGAGATATAAATGAGGTCAAATTCAAATTGCATTTAGTTATAGATTCTAGATAGAGATTAGATCTAGATTAATTATTCATTAATATTTAATATCATTATTTAATAAATAACTCTTCGCTTTTCCCTTAAGATCTAAATCTTTTAGCTTATTAAAGTTCACTGATTCCTTATGAGACTATCGTTTGCCAACCGTGAGCACTTTGCCAGCTGTTCCCATCTTCCGCGGATTATTTCGTAAGCTTATTTGCATATACCCAATTAGCAGCTAACCATGAAATCGATGCCCAGGCCGGGACTCTCAGATTCTGTTTGGCGCAAATCCATAATAGATTCAAGTATTCAACCAGCCGCCACCGCTTATGCCCCATTAAATCCTGAAGCTGGCCACAGGAATTGGATTCGGATCACTTCTGAGGTGGAGTCCGTGGGCCTAATTTAATATATATGATCTGGTTGGTTGGGTCGCACGAAAATCCCGCAGCAAAGCCGCTTGGCAATTGTAAACTGTAGTAGGCACCTAATTTGCGAACTGTTGAGCCATTAGAGGGCACAAGGTGCCAGCAGATCCTTCCTCGCCAACCAGACCTCCAAAGTCACCCGAAAACCCCCACAGAAAGGGCACTTAAGTACACAACTACCCTCACTCTAGCCCTATACGATTTCCCTTAATACACTGACAAAACTAAACATATGTATAATGACAATTCTTCATTTTTAAGGATTTTTAATTAAACTTAAGGGATGTTCAAATATATAAATTTGGATATTCAATCTTGAAAATAAAAGGAAATATATTTATTATTTTTAAATGTAAGTGTTTCTCGCAGTGCACTTATGTCCCGCCCATCGTTCTACTGCACATGTTTATGGCTAAGCCAACAAAGCGTTGACTGCGGTTGACCCCAGTAGCTCGAACAATGAAGTTGGAGGCGGGAAGAAGACAGGGCAGAAAGGACGCCTCATCAGCGACCAAATCCCCATGTAAGCCCCACAAAGGACAGCAACCCACGGACAAGGACCAAGGACCAAGGACCAAGGACCGTTCAACTAATTAGCATTAAATCAGCTGTAACAGCAGAAAAGTGGGCGTAGGACTTACCTTGCCGAATATGGTCAGGCCGCCGTGTTTCATATTGAAGGTCGGCGCGTCCGCATAACTCGAGTCCGCCCATGGAGTATGGCACGTTGATGTAAGCGTCATATAACGCACTCCAATGGCATACAGGGTGCGCAGTACCGCTAAAGATCCACCGAGGGAATGGCCACCCTCTACGCCGGTCAAGGAGCACAATTGCTGGTTTTTGTGGGCATCGATAATGTCTGCAAAGCGAAAGATACAAAGATGTTTTATAGGAAATATTTTTATATGATTAAGATAATTTAAAATAATAAAATAAATTTTATAAGTCAAAGAGGAACTACTTAAACTTTTTTTTTAAATATTTCAACACTTTCTTCCAGGATCATTTAAACTTAATAAATATTAAATAAAATAAAAAAATACTTTTTAATTCAAAGTCGTTTGTAATTTTCCCTTTGCTGCATAGAAACAGATGTGTGGCCGAAATGTTTTTGGGGTTTTGTGGGGTGGCACAACTTAAACTTCAAACTTGGCTTGGCATTGTTTTTTGGCCATGAGTAACATTTGTTGTTCTGTGGCCTGTCATTTGCTCGGCTGCCCCCATTGAGCACTCAGTGCATTGTGGCTGGTCCAGGATTCTGGCTCTTGGGTCCTGGGACTTAGTACCCCCAAATGCCCCCAAACTGTCAGTTTATCCTTGGCCAACAAAACATTTCGCTGGGCCATGCAATATTCACGCTTGTCTTGGCCCGAGCAGCTTTGATCTGTTTCTTGACATTTTATTTTGCTGCCAACGAGCTCTTGTCAAAATACTTGTGCTCTCTTCATTCATTTATTACCATTATTTTAAGTTAGCCAAGCTTGAACCATGTTTGCTTAAAGTTGTTGGCCAAGTTGTTGGACACAATGCGAGTAAGTACACATTTACTGGAGTGGCGTGAAGAGGAGTTTTGCCAAAATCTTGACTCAATGGTCAGTGGAAAAGTTTTAATGATTTAAAATAATCATTTTGACTTGAAAATGTTTTGAAGAGTTTTAAGGGCTTAAAAGTATTGGTTATTGACTTAAACTTTGTCAAGAGGTTGAAATGAAAAGGTTGAAATAAAATCAAGACATAAAGGCCGAGCAATTAAATTTGGGAAAGGAAATCATTAAAGTTATTGCCTTTGCCATTTAATAATGTTAAAATGTTACTTCAGAAGGAATAGTGTCATTGATAGATATGGGAAACCTTTTCATTTTAATGGATTTGTCAATCAACCAACAGCCCTTTCGGTTTATCTGCAACTAATTGGGGAAACATGCTCCCAAAAACCTTGCCCATTTAGGCCCTGAAATTTGTGTTTCCCAGCTATTCAAATCAAGCATTTTGTGTACCCAATTTTGATAACATTTCGAATGTATCGCCCACATTCACAAGTACAGAAAAGGCAAACGGAAAGCGGGTTAATAAATTTTGCCGCATAACGAAGGCCAAAAGGCATTATTTGCCTGCCAGGAGAGGAGAAATCGGTAACAGGAAAAGGACTCAAGACACAGGTCTGGCGAAGTTTTCATGGCTATAAGCAAATAAGCTGTGCGAAATCAAAAGCAACGGCAGGTGGAAGGATGCGGGAATTGTTCTCGATGCTGTTTTCTATTGCGGACACTGAAAAAAATATATATTTATATTTTTGACAAAAACAAGAGATGAGAAAAACTACGAAAGAAAATTTAAATTGTATTATTATCAATTAAATTTATAGATTTCATTATAAAAAATAATTTCTGTCAATAAACGGACATTGTTATTTTTTGGAGTGGGTTCTTCGACTTTTCTCTTCCATTTCCCATCAGCCCTCTCTTTGTATTGTTGGCAAAAGCCAAAATACCTGCCACAAGAACCTGGTCGATGTCGGAAACGTCGTAAAACCCTAAAATATGGAGCAAATAAACAAATGTACCAGGGCCAATACCAAAACCAATACCAACGAATCCTTCTCAGAGCGAAGAGGCACTAAAATGCGCCACGTGAGCTGAAGTTCAATTTTGTAGTCCAGGACTTTGACTCGGTTCTTGGGGGTTCTGCATGTAATTGTCTGTGACTGGGACTATAACTGGAACTGTGACTGCTACTGTTTTCGATTTCTGGTGACCGGGGGCCGTAATGTATAATAGATGGCCCCAGTATCGGATGCGAATTGAGGCAGTGACCGTGTAGCAGTCTCTCGCACACACGAGCACACGGGAAATGCTCCAATACATTTCAAAATGAAAATCCCAACCAAATGCCACTTGACGCAATAAACCAAAGGCAATGGCAACAGCAGCTCCAGAAAAAGGGTAACAATAAAGGGTGGGCAATGGAGCTGCTGGAAATGCAGATACCCTGAAGGGTCAACAACAAATAAGTTGAGTTTCAGTTGCATATTTATGTTTGTTTAAATAATAAGTGAAAATAATAGTTATAAATTATAAAAAAAAATATGATTTCTTACATAAATTCAATTGTTTTCTTATGAGACTCTAATATTTTTCCTATTGCTTTAAGGTTTACTATGGGGTATCTATCCCGATTAAAAACTTTTCCTCCAACTTATCCCTAATCCCTTGCGAGGGAATAAAACCCATTGTGCTCCGTAAGCGTTAGAGTGCCCAGGCTGATACCAAATGCTTCGTTTGCTTCCTATTTTTCTTTCTGCTGCAGCAGAATGCAATTTTCTCAATATCCTTTTCCTCAAACTGGTGCTCCTGCTGCTTGGGATTGTGGTGCTGGAGCAGTGTAAATTGAAGTTTACACTATTGAAGGTGAAAATTGAAAACTGCAAATAAAAACGATTCGCACATGGGGAATGTTCCAAATGTAAAGTAGCTGGCTACTGGCAGGTGACAGCCGAGAAGGACGCTGCCACAAGGATATTTCGGTATGTATATATATCCTTAGCGCTCTTTGTGTGTGGCTGTTGTGTTTATGCAGCGCTCATTTGTTTAGTTTGAAAAGAGACAGGTACTAGAGCAGAGTTTTTGAGTGCACTTGAAAAATTGCCAAAGGCTTAGCATTTATAAGAAAAAGTATAAAAAGTTACTAAACTATATTTAATATAATAAAAACTATATTAAAAGTGTTATATATGGAAACTAGGAAAATAATATTTTTCAGCAATTTCCGTTTTGTTCAGTTATTTATTTTATATATTTAACGATTAATCTGAAACATTTTCCAGTGCAGGATTTCGATTTGGACCTGAACTTCAGCTTGCACTCGCTTAGAGACTGGGACAGGGACTTGGACTTGGATTTGGTTTCGCATTCCAGAGCGGACTGAGTGACGTGGCCCGTCACTCGACGCGTTGTGTTTCGGTTCGTTAGGTTTGCATTTTTTACAATCACTTTGGCAGTAGCTCCTCCAGAACGGGACAAAAGTGTACTACCGACTATAGGAGGGACAAGTCCTGCAGATCGGAGTGGGAACAGCATGCCCTGCTGCACTTGCTCAATAGTCACTTGGATTCGCATTTTATTTACACGGCATGTGAGCGAGAGCGGACAACAATTTCGACTGAATTTATTTGCAGTAGTTAAAATAAAATGCTCGTTTTTATTTTGTGCAGCGGCAGCTGGGATTTCACCAGAAACTTAAGGGCCACAGTGAAGGCGGGGTTGTTTATTTTGAATCCCTTTTTATTTTGGTACTTTGCAGAGCACAAAGGTAGGTCAGTTTTTGTTGCTCTTCGGGGTTTCGGTTTGATTTCTGCGCTTGGGCCTTTGATTCGCAGCTTGTTTACAGCCAGCTCAAAGGGGATTTCGTTTGATTATATGGAAATGTGTCGGGGATTTGCTTGGCAAGTAATTGGGATTTTTTTCCGGTAGAAATCAGTTTGCATATTATTATTTGGCGTGGCTGGTTAAGAATTATCGGCTTTGCCAAAATTAAATCGTTCGAGGGGATTTTACTGGGGTAAGTATACTTTTTTGCTTGAATCTTTTGGATAAATAATATAATGTATTAACAAGCACAGGTTTTTTTTTGTTTGAGCTCGGCAAAGTAAACATAGAAAAATGTTTACATTATTTCAATAGAGTATCTTAAATAACAATAAGATTAAACAAAAACCATTTCTATCATTGTTCGTCTAAGTGTAATTATTTAATTTCCGTAAAATTCAGAATTTTTGCACTTTTCTTTCTGTTATTTATGTTTTTCTTCCACTCTATCTTCTGCTCCAATTTTAATCAAATTTATTGCTCAATTTGCCACTTCACTCGCTTGACTCAATCCAATTTTCTTAGCACAAAAAAAAAACCACAACAATTAAAAGAAGAGTTTTTCTGCTGACTCGGACAGAGAGATGGAAGAAAAAAACTATGGCCATCAAGGAGATTGGCAAATTGCTCAGTGCGATGCTTCCGTTTGATTTGCACAGTGCTGACCATATGTGCTCCGTTTCAGAGTTTTCTTTAGCGATTCACCTGTCAAAAATATGCCTGGCCTTCTGAAAAATAAAAACATCCTCAATCCATTCCTCGCCCATTGAGTAAATGCACTTTTGCAGTAATATTTCTTTGCTAAAAGTTTTCCTGTTTCATATTTCTTGTTATTTTGCGGATGATTTTTCTCAGTCATGATTTATTGACATTTCCATTTACGGGTACATAAATGTTTCAACGCAAATGCCGGAAGCGATTTGTTGGTTTTTCCAGCATTTTTTCTGAGCCATTTTCCGAAAGTGCGGCTGTGCATGTGTGTTTGACTGTACAGATGCAGTCTCAGCTGCAGAACTAAAATATTGCCAAGACCCCAGAACCGAGTGAGTGCAAATCAAAATGCAAAACGGAAAACCAACAAGGAAACTTAAATGCTGGCCGGGGAGTCGGAGCATAAGTCAAAAGTTGCTACTTGCAATGCTCTTCTGTTGCTTTCGCTCTTTGCTGTTTTCGTACACTAAAATGAAAATACTAAGCAAAGAATAGTTTTAAAATTAAATATTAAATAACTGTTTTCCAAGAAACTTGTGACCTATATAAACGTATTTATAAAAATAAAATGGCAATTAACTTTTTAATAAATAAATACAGATTTTTCAATTGAAAAGTTAATCTATTTTTGTTCCTGTTGTGGGATAGTGAAAAGTTACAATCGATTTAAACCCAACTGACGTCATTTTTTAAGTGTATGGTTTGTTTGCTATTTGGCAAGTGGAATCCTTGCGACTGCCTTTCCCCTTTGACCCCCAACCCCCGCATACACAAAGAAATATGAACTGTTTTCCTTTCGCTTAAACGAGGCCTCCCCGGCTGGCAACTAGGTGAGTGAGCAGCGTATCAAAGGAAATGGTGCAAAAATATGGCACGCGGTAAGCAGCTGGCCCAAAAGCCGCCTCAAGGGCCGCCATCTACTCCGACAAACTGCTTTTTGGTAGCCGGCCAAGATACTTTTCAACAACTTTTGCCCAAGATTCGCGAGTCAAAGTTTTCCGGCGTAACCGGCTCACAAAAAAAAAATGGCGCACCAAAAAAAAAACTAGTGGTAAGGAGGAAAAACAGTCGAATGCCTGGCTGGCTGGCATTTTCGCAGTTCCCGGAATACTTGCAGTTTTTTTGCCGGCTTGAGGAATTCAGCTGGCCCACGCGGCGTATGTGGGATATTTCGGTTAACTTACCCTGCGATGAGGTGCAAGTGGTTAGCTGCGGTGAATACCGGTCCGTCAGCCGCTTGATCACGTCGATCTGCTCCAGAGTCAGCTGAACTGCATCACGATGCTGCGCCTCACAGGGAACGTAGGCGGCCCAGAACTGGAAAACAGGAAGTAACAAACAAATAAATAGGGATATAGTTTAATATATTGGATAAGAACTCATCTATCATTTAACAGAAGTTTATTGTAAAAGTAAACAATATAATTCCTACATCTTGTAAAGCATAAAAATAAGAATGCAAGGCTCTTACTGTCTCTTTACCGTCATATATAATATTCTTTGCAAAGTTTCCATTTTAAGTCTGAACGATTTATTGTAATTTTTTGGGAATCTGAAAGTTTTTTGTTAATTGCACATTATTGCGAAGGGTGTTATAGCACCGCCCATAAACAGAAACTCCTTAAGAGAGTGCCCAAAATGGAGCAGACAAGAAAAACTGAGCAAAACAGTTTCATCACGTTATATCATTAAAGGAAAATAAAAGCACGTACGTGTCTCCGTGGAACAGGAACCAGAATGAGGAACGAGCTGGAAAGTGGCAAAAAGCGATTCGGAAAAAAGAGCAATTAAAAAGTTTTAGCTTTTTGCTCTGCACACTCGCACAAAAGCGAAAAACTGAGCAGGTTCCGTAATAAATAATTTTTAATATAAATTCGTGAGAGGCCTGAACCAGAAACCCGGAAGAGGGAACCAGGAAAACATACCCTATTTCCCCTGCAATTTTTGTTCTTGTTGCTTTTGCCTCCATTGCTAAGCACGTAGTTTTAAACCATTTTCTCTGGGCCGAGGCAGTAAATTAAAACCGAAACAAGCAACACTCTAAATGTTCATTTGTTCCGTTTCTGTTCTGTTTCAGCAGCTCCTCATGATGGTGGTGATGATGATGATGATGACGATGATAAAGTTTGGCGTAATTCATGGAGCTAAATTTGGTTTGCTCCCAGGTTGGCCGATGTGCATATGAAATATGTAAAACTTTTCAATAAACGAGTCACAGAAAAACAATTACGACCAGAGATGGACTACTGTGTGTGTTGGTGTGTGCTGGTGTTAGTTGTACAATTGGATTTGTGCTCTCGGACTCGGGGGACTTGGGTCAACTCGGTTGTTGGCTCTGCATTTGTGCAATTTTAATTGCACAACAGACGAGGAAATTTGTGGATTTGCAAGCACCTGCTCGGCTCCCCAGTTCTCATTCGGCCAAATAAACACTGAACAATAACAGGGACAGCTGAAAATTCAGTTTGGGAGGCATAAAGTTTATCCACCTGGACCTGGGGGAAATCTCATTCCCAGTGTTGATTTTTAGTTTGTTTCCCTGGGCAGCTCACTTATGCATACCAGCCTCGAAAAAAGCATCCTAAAATGGTAGTAAGGTCCTGGGAAATAGAGGGGCTTATCAGGTGGTCGGTAGCACAGGGCATTAGTTCAATTCGGGTTAATTGTATGGTCCGTGCAGTACTAACTCTGTTCATTACCATTTGCGTTCATTTACGCTCCTGGATTTAGGACTCGGAATTCGAGGTGTTTCGGTGCTTATGCTTTCCGGGTAAAATAATGAAGCGTTGGGATAAATGATACCAATGGTAATGGTTGTGTATGGAATCTATGGAATCTGTGGAAACTATGATTGCAACGAGAATTCATATGTACCTAGTAATTACGTTAATTACATCAAGTTGGTTTGTAGCTTAAAGTTCATTATTAAAGAGAACAAATAACCTTATTTTGGTCTTGCTGGTTAAAATATAATTTCTGATGCCTTAATACTATATTCTTAATAACCTTCTTTCAATTCAGTGAGAACCCTTTTTCAGGCTTATTATATTAAAAGCCAAATAAAGCAATTTCCATTAAATGCTTTTTTTTGCGTCTTTACATTAAACATTTCCAGGTAGATAAGAAAAATTACCCCGACATTACCGCAGACGGAAAACTGAGGAAGGTGGGATGAAAACTCGTTTTTTCATCCGTTTTCTCGGCGCTTTGTTCGCGCTATTTTCCACGCGTTTTTTGCATTTCTTTGCTCGGCATGTGTCCTTTTTTGTGGCAGTCGTTTTATCTAATTTTAGCAGTGAAAATCCTCTTAAAGCATTTTGGTGGGCATTCAAACGGGTTCCTAAGACTGCAATGGTGTGAAGTGTCTGTCTGGCTTTATGATTGAAGGCAACAGGTTCAACGCGGCGTATGCGCAATTTTCTCAGGAGATGATTGTGGTGTTGCGTTGTTTCTTTATTTGTTATAAACATCTTCACTGAGAGAAGATGCAACTTAAGTATAATTTATAAGCAGAAAATGTAGAAAGTATTAAAAGTAACATTTGTTCTATATAGTATTTTCTGTGACAAATTTTATAATTACGAAAAGCTTTCTTCTTGTTTTAAATTTATATTTATTACGTACACATTTTAGCAGTGTTTTATTTTTTTGTCCGTTGGTATTATCCTTGTTTTTCTCGCCATTTTTCTCCTTATTTTTCTCACAATTCCCAGCTATATTCAGCACTTGCCTTCTGGCATATTCAATGCAAGTTAGTATTCTTTTCTTTCTCCCAAGGCAAAAAAATATTTCATTTATGTTTAAGTCTCCTGCGGCACCTGTTGAAGGTTGTATTATAGCATCTTAGCCCAACATCCTTCCCTCATTTTTCACATATATGACTTTACAATGGCCAAGTACGTTTGTTTGTCGGGCAACGTTGGATGCTTTTGGCTTTGTAATGGAACTTGGGGTGGCCTTTTGTGTGTACTTGGCTTTCTGGGGCGAATTTCAAGTGTGTTTAAGCACGGCACTTTGCCATTAGCCCACTGACACGCCCACGCCAAAATACACCTGTTCGTCGCCCCAGCAGTGCCATCGTTATCGTCATCATCATCATCGTCGTGGCCAAAGTGTCGTCGGCGTCTCGATGGCGTCGCCTTTGGTGTTTTGCTGTCCTCGAAACCAACGTCATCAGGCTCATCATCGTCCTCATTCTCTATTTCCCAGTCTCCCAGTTTCCCAGACTCATTTTCACCACCCACATCCTGGGCACAAAGCATATTAATATTTAAACTTGTTTGGCGGCGGCAACAAGAACAACACCACCAACTCCCTTAAGGACAACATTTCGGCTTCAAGTTAATTGTGAATCTGACAATGTTGTTGTTGTTGTGGTGGCGGTGGCCATATGCGTGATTTGTTGTCGATGGGCGGCACGTGTGAATGTGTTTACCTAATGTGGCTATATGTGTGCCTGGGCTTATGCAGGAAAAAAAAAAATTGTGGTCCAAAAATAAGCTCAAAGGACATGTTGGAGGATAAGCCATTAAGCTCGGCTTAATATGTGATATTTATAAAGACCTTTGAAGAAAAAAAATCAGGAAAAACTCTTGTTTGGATTTGATTCTAATTTGATTTTAAATTATAAAGCATAAGATAATTTAGAAATATTATTCGAAACTTTTTATAATGATGATTTAATATTGTTTAATCTATTTTCCTCCGTGCAAATTTGTGTGTTTCTCTGCGGTTGCTTACGCAACCTTGCTGCTATTATTGTTAGAGCATTCATATATATTAAAGTCAGCAGAATACATAATAACAAATGCAATTGCAGCTGGGACCCGAGGTTGCCCAGGGCATTCAGATTTATGTCTGCATACTTAGGGACATATATATATATATTCAAATTCAAGGTCCTGGTTTAAAGTTGTGCCTTAATTTCAATTGCAAACCGACATTAAATAATTAATTCGTATGCTTTGTATTTATAGGTTTTAGCAGGTCACTTAATTAGAATTTACCACAACAATGCAATAAATATATTCATATTTGCAAAAGCATTTAATCAAAAACATTTCTGAGCCGGAACTCGAGGCTATTTGGTGTCACTTTTGTGCTCAGCACAATGCCATGAATGTGTTCGTTATGCATTTAAAATTATTTCCGCCCTTGGGCAGCCCTGCATTTGATTGCCTGCACGGAGCGGTATGCATACCATAATTACACGCAAAAACGGGAAAATTGGACTGGGAAATGGTCTGAGAGGAATGCCAAAGCTGACCAGCTTGTGGTTAGCAGCAAAAACCGCAAGTCCAACACCTTTACAATCCCACAGGAATGCAACAAGCCCGCAAAACAAATCCTCCAAAAACCAGTATCATTCCGGCAAGAGAAAAAAAATGTACAGAGTTGTCTGTGGGTCCGGTTCTAGTCTGGTTTTGCATTTTCGGTCTGTGGTCAGAGGTTTCTTCCTTGTCTACCTCTGAGCCGGTAGTCTGAACAACACTAAATACTTTCTGAAAGTAAATATATACTTCAGGCAAATGTTGCAGAAAGATAAGCTTAATTCACCAGAAAGAAAATTTTATAAGAATTTGAAGGCCAAATGCAAAGTTTTAAGCACCCTTAAATACTTAATTAGGAAAGCTAGATCACTTCATGGGAAATAAATAGTTAAGTAAAGGAGAAAAGTAAGTAGACTTTCATTAATAATATATATTGACTGTTAAGAAGTTACTTGAAGTCTTCATAACTTTCTTTAAAAAACATTTCGGACTTTAAAAAGAAATTGCTAGCAATATTTAAACGATTCTTAGTAACAGAATTCGAAAAAGAATTCGAAAACCAAGAGTTCTTAACTTTTCAAAACCATTCTTGAAACTCTTGCACTTCAACGGTTCTGTAAACAGTTGCAGACAACAGGCAGCAGCAAGTTTTCCTTCCATAATGTTGGCGTGTCCTTACTGTCCTGCATGCCCTGAATGTCCTGGATGTCCTGGCCCAGATTACAGCCTCGTCGACGACTCTGCGCTGCGGCTATTTCCGCTTCAAGCGCGTCCTTCGCTCGTAGCCCTTCGTCCCTGTTTCTGCAACTGTTTCGATGTGTGTACTTTCTATTAGGCTGAATCTTTCTTTCTCTATGTATATGTGTGGGTGTAAGGATGGAGGAGAGAACCAAAAAGGATGCAAGATGGAAAGGAAGAATGCAGGCAGCCATGCAGCCGGACAAGCGTAACACGACGTTTCCGTGTCCCGGGCCCAAAAACAGTAGCCAACTTTTTGGGGCTTCATGATGTTTCGACATTGTTGCTACCTTTTTCTGGTCTTCTTTTCATTTATACAGTAAAATAAATTTTCGAATTTATAATGCCAGGATTAATAATGATTGAAATTTCTACAAATAAAATTTACAAAATATATTCGGCATCAAGTAATACTCAATGTATATTTATATTATTTTAAACAAAATTCATTAATTTTTTTGTCTTTGTGTATTTATCCTGATCTTCCCTATTTCTCATCAAGGCATCGCCTTTGGTGCAGATGTTGCCTTTTGAAGAGAAAAGGCTGAGCCGCTGAAAACTGTTTGCCAACCTACAAGATTTTAAGTTCTTGATGGTTTAAACGTGATTTTCCAGCAAGTCTATTAAAACGATTTTTTCCCCACATCTCTTGTACCTTCCTTTTTTTTGGTTTGGGGTTTTCCCTACGGTTTTCCGAGGCGCATTCGTTGCACGTTTGGCATTTTGGGCAACAATTGTTGAAACATGTTGTCAACTAGTTAGTCTCCACGTTGTTGCCTTTTTTTGTTATGGCAGTTTTCCTCATTCCCGTACTAGTTGTTGTTTTTAGTCAGCAGAGAGCTAGTTTATTGAGTTAACTTGTTTTGTCGGGAATCGAGTGTTGCCAAAGTTTTCAAATCGTAGTTATACAACACATTAAGCTACAACCATATAAAACTACCATGAAAGACGGTGAGGATATGCGGTTTGTTTATAATAAATGCATAATAATTTCGGAAAATAAACGAAAACAAATTGTGATTATATTAAAATGAATCACTATTTGTATTTTCTACTCCAATTATATGCAGCCAAGAAGGCAATTTCCACCTTTCGCCTTGCAATTAAGTGCACCTTAGAAATTGTACAATATTTTTCGCACGGAAGCCGCCGTCTGGCGGAGTTCTTCAAAGGAAGCCGCGTCAACAAGTTCAATTAGCCCACAAGAGAAGCCAGAAATTGCAGCTATAACTGACACGCCCATCGAACATGAAATCAAGATGTTTTCCCTTGCTCACAAGTGTGAGTGCGCCTTACAAGGTTTCCTCAGGTGGAAAATTAAAGGAAAATGGTAAGTGTATGTGTTTATAAGGCCATCAATTTTGATTCCTATCACGGCTGTTGAAAGTGTTAAGGCAAGTCTCGGAATTTGCACAGAGAATATATTTTTGTATAAAATATTAATATTAATATTTCAGTAACTTAATAGCAATTCTTAAAAATAAATGATTAAACCTATTGGTCCTATTAAATCAAATTTATTTAAGTTAAAAATAATATTCTGAATTGTTTCTTTCAAAAATGAAAATTCTTCTGAGTTTTGTATCGGTGTACCAATTTACCATTTCTGTGATTACATGAGTCAGGAGGGCTCGAGCCATTTGGCTGGGTAATTAAATTGAGTGGTGCATAATTTTACTTTGCGGCTGCCAACTTTGCTGGTAGTTGGCCAACTGCAATTACCTGTTAGCCCTCAACACAAACACAAAATGCATCCGAATTTATGGCCCTGCAGGGAGCCAAAGCAAAATGCAATGGAAAAGTTAATTTTCATTATGGCCTAAGCAGGTGGAAATTCCCGCTTTCGCTTTTCCTCCATTACCTTTCGCTTGCGCATTTCTCTTTCTCTCGCGGCAAACGTGAAAAATCGTCTTTGCGGTTGGTCTACGAAAAAATGCAAAAGGGGAATAACAGACAGTGGGAAATTCTCTGGACAATTTGAAATATTCAAGTGGTTTTCGGTTTCCCATTGATTTATGAACTTTTCCCCAGGTTAATCGTTTCCTACTTTCGGTATTTTCTGCCTGGTTTGCCTCATTAATCTTGGTTGCTCCTGGCCACGTCAATCAGTAGGAATTCCCTTTCCAATACCAATTACTCGAACAATTTTAGCAGTTTAATTGCTAGCAGCCATATCATTTGATCTGTTTACTCATTCCCCTTCGATTCCACTTTAAAAATGGCTCACAAATTTCGAGCCATAAACGAATCAATAACGACATCAAGTGGATATCCGAACACTTATGGCAGGTAGACGGTGTCATGGCAAAAAAATAATTAAGAACTTCATCATTGGCAGCAGAAGGAGGAGCATCCTGCTCCTGAGCTTCGTGAGTGGCTCATAATTAATATTTTTCTTGCCTTATTCTGCTGACTGAGAGCAAAAGTCGCCTGTTGCCTGGACAACGGCTTGCCAGGAGATATAATAATAAATTCTATTTTTCTGTGAGACTTAAGGAAGAATATGGGATGCTCTTATAGAGAACGTATTCAGAGATCTTAGGTTCTTAGATTATATATTTCTACCCAAAATACTTCAGTAAACATTTTTATAAACATTTTTTTCGATTACCTTCAACCCTTCAATAAACTTAAATTCCCAACTTAAAAGCCCGACCAGGAAAGAGTATTAAACTGCCAAGTTCAGTTTAAGCTACGTGCTATAATAATTTCAGGTGAGCGGCTAAGGGTTTTTAGAAAGGAAAAGCGGAGCCTGGCCACTTAACTTACCTGTGCTGATATGCGTCCCTTCTTCAGTCGCGTGAGATCCGTGTGACTCCAATGGCTGCGACCCCAGGGCATTACATTGCGCAAATCCTCATCAAAGCTGCGGACGGAGAATGGTGGGCAATGGGTGGGGATAATAACACAAATTGATGTTAAAATTTAATTGCATTTCTATGTGATAGATGCTCACTTGAAGTCGTTTAGTTTGTTGTGCAGGAACTTGCGAATATTCCAGGGTAAATCGTTATGCCCGTCAATTAAAGGCACTTGATCCAGAAGCTGAACGGCCACTCGCAAACGCTCCTCAAAAGGTGCACCTGAAAATGTGTTCAGTTAGTGATTATATTTGCCTTCCTGAAGATTAAAATGAAGATGAAGATTAAAATCAGAGAATGGTATATTGTTTAATGTTTTTTCCTTCCTCTCCATGTTGTCTTCTTTTGACTTTCTATTCCTTTTCCAGTGCACAACAGAATCACTTGCTAACTAACTTAAAGTGCCTGCCATTTAGGTCGTCATCATCCAACACAATAGCTCCAGAGATTCACTGGCTGTGTCGGCCCACGTGTCGAATGCGTTATGGTAATTGATTTATTGTCTATGAAGTGAGTGTCCATGTCTCAGTTTTGGATCTGGGTCGGGGCATCCCCGTGTTCCCCGCTTTGGAATCGATTCGATGCGATACTCACTTGCTGCCACACGTAGCGCCAGTGGCACGGCCACACTGGCAGCGCCAATTATCAGGAGGATGGAGCTCACTGCCAGCCAGTGCTTGGCTGCATCGAATCCTGTAAGTTTTACAGGACGAGAAGACATCGGAGGAGGTGGCGTCATCAGCATTCATGATGACCAAGGGTTCCGCATCGATTGTTGTCGTTGTTATTGGCAGTTCAATGCCAAGTCGTTTGCAGCACCGTTGTCATCATCATCATCATCATTACAATCATCATCATCATCATGGACATGGTGGTTCCATTGTTCATTGTTCGTTGTTGTGATGCATTTTGTGTGTGTGCAAATTGCCGTGACAGTGGCATTGATTACAGCAGCAACAACGATGGCAGCAAAGCATCAGGAGTAAAAAAGCATCAGTGTAAGGAAAGCACAGTGGCATCATCGACATCAGCATCAAGTTGCGGCGGTCAAAAAGGAAGTAAAAAAGAAACGATAATAAGGAAATATGGTTAGTTAAACGTACAAAATTGAGTTGCTGGGTTGGTTTTTGGTTACAACAAAAAGAAGAAATAGGAAGGGCTAAGAAAAACCTTCTTCAAGTTTCATCCTTTCTCGAGATTCCATCGAACTAAATCGAGTTTAACAAAGCAGAACAACTTGTTGGATATGTGCTGAAATTAGCTCACAGGGATGATTGTGATTTTGGAATTCAAGAAACGTTTATCTTTTTCGGAATATCAAGATACTGTAGGTAATAAAGTTAAATTGGTATATTCTTGAAAGGAAATATTATTAATTGTAGTTAGTAAGTAGCTTAAACAGTGTGCTTAATTTTACTCAAATGTAACATCTAAATTAATCCTTTTTAAAATTCAAGCGACGATACAGTCAAATAACTTCATCTCCATAGAATCCCCATTGTTACTAATTACTCCATACTTGCAAAGACTTAGAAGATGATGAAGTGCACCCCGCACTCCTCGACCAGGGATATTGTGAACCACAGGAAACTAAAGCAAGGCCCATCAATGGAAATGCAAATCTCATTATACGATTTCCCTTCTGCCGACTATCAATGACGACTGGTAATTTGTAATTGCTAGACAAATTTGATTATGCAACTTAATCCAATTGATAGAGGCGAATGTACATAGATGTGTAACTGAAGCTCAGGCTAAGCAAATAAGCCAAGCGAGGCGAAAAACTAGCTCCTGCTCTTTAGATTTCGGTTCAAATTTTGGTTCAGAGCCAGCCAGCAGAAAGAGCGATGGCTGCAATGTATCCATTTGATTATAGTGACCGGCTCCTGGGCGACTCCAAAGTGAATTACCGATAAGCAAGTGGCAAATGAAAGGCAATGTGCAACCTAACGAGAATCGAGGGATGAGGACCGCTGCTCCATGAAATAGAAATGTGAGCACTTAAAGAAAAATCGTTGAAGAAATTAAATCGGGGACAATTGAGTAGCTCATATATGAAACCTAAATAAAAAGAGTTTCTAAATAAAGAAACATCATTTTTTAAAATCATGCAACTTCTGAGAAGATGCAATTTATAATTGGCAAGGAAGCCAATTGGTTTTTAATTTTATGAAATGGTAATTAACTTTTTACATGGACCTAGAATCCTAATAAAGGCCATTTCAAACTTTAGAAAACTAACATATGATATGATTCTAGAATCCTTGTTCGGACTGTTATATCCTGCAATTGTCCTGCAAGTGTAACGAGTCCAGTTGGCAGCGGCCGCACCAGCGATTTGCATAAATTTAAGCGAACAGGACATCGTCCACAGTTACGCAGTTTTTGACTGCTAACGAATTGCAGTTGCCAGGAGACATGACGAGGATGGGAATGAGCCGGAGACTGATGCTGATGGAGATAATGACCATCCTGGGGAGGGTGTTGGCGATGTGGATGAACATGGAGATGACGATGACAACGTTGCCGCCGCTGATGTTTCTGCTGATGATGATGAGACCAAAGTCACGCGGGCATTGGCAACGTTTAACATTTAGCAGCCATGTTACATGAAGCGCAATCAAACGGCTAACGACTAAATGGCAATGTCCCCCAGGGGGTGGGGCAAAGCAGCGAACGGGTAGAGGAATATTAAGTGCAATGTCATGTACAACGTCTGGCAGTAGAAGAAGGCATAAACCGATGCATTTAGCTCGAAAAGAGACGGCTATCATGAAATTCCACCTTAAATCAGTTTTTAAAATTGATCAGAGCGAAGTGGCCAAATTGGTATTGAATGCGATTTGAAATCTTAGATCTATTTTTGCGTCTGGGATTTAGTTTTAAAACTTACTTACAACATGTAAAACTATTTCTAATACTTTCAGCTGTTTAAATTTTTCTTGAAAAAGTACTGAGATATACAGCAGTACTCCTCTATAATCTCTCTAAAAACAGTGTCCCTGAGAACCCTGAGGACACTAACAATCCGTAATCCCCTTTATACTTACGGAACGAATTCGTGCCGGAGCTGGAAGATCCACGACTGGGACACTGTCGGTGTTTCCATGGCATGATGCTCGTGACGCTCGAGTGGAGCTGGTGGTGTTTCTGCGGTGTAACCGAACCCGATCCACCCGCCGCTACACCACCCACATGTGCGTGATAATGATGCGGATGTGGATGCGAATGGGTGTGCGGATGCGTATGCGGATGGTGGAGCGATGTCTGCGATTCGCGTTCTTTGAGGCCATGTCCAATATCGCTGTCGAAGGAGGTGAGCGTAAATGTGGATGACGCGGCTAGGCCCAAGCCACCGTTTGTCATTGCTCCACCGGAAACTGCATTTCCCGACTGCATTTTTTGATACGGCACACGACAACCACCATTACCACCAGAGCCATCAATGTTCACCAAATTGCCAAAGCTGCGACTATTAATTGGCAACGTCCAGTCCATGCTGCTGGTGTGAAAGATTGCCGGTTGCTGGGGGGCCTTCTGATGTTGCTGTGGGGCTTGGTGTTGCTGTGGGTTTGGGTGTTGCTGTTGCTGCTGGTGCTGTTGCTGTGGGAAACTGAGCAGAGATTGCGAGAAGCAGCGACATCGCTGCTGTTGAAAGTGCGCCATTTGCTGCTGGTGGTGTTGCTTCTGCAGGTAGCGACTGTAGTGGGCCAAATGTCTTGCATAATCGCTGCTCGGCCCAATGGTATTGTATTTCGAGGATGCATTACCACCTGGCAGGAAGCACAGGCTGGGATCCGATTTCTTGGAGTGCGGCGAGAATATCTCGTCCTCCTCATGGGCGGCAAATGGGGGCGGGGGCGGGTTGGTATTATTCGTGGGTGTGGCATTGTTGGGTAGCTTGTGCCTATGATTGTGGGCATGGCCAGGAGGTTGGCAAAGGTCTGGCTTCACCTGATTGTTGTTATTGTGACTTAAGTTGCTTGCGTTGTTGCAAATATTGCTGGCATTGCTGTTGCTGTTGTTGCTGCTGCTGTGATTGCTGGTCGTGGTGCACTTTAGCAATGTGGCAGTGCACTCATCCAATGCCGATTTAGTGCAGTCCTGCAAAAGATCACTGCTGCACAGCTGCGACAAGTTGTTATTGTTGCTGCTGTGATGTTGCTGCTGTTGCAGATGCTGCAACAATCGCAGGCTGCGCATGCTGCCGTTGCGTTTCATCGATGGCGGCGGCGGCACAGGCGGTATGACATCCACATCCGACAGGCTGGGCGTGTCGCTCTGGAATGTTAAAAAGGGAAGTAAGTATCAAGCTGTTGACAAAAGGGAAATCGCATTTAATCAATATGGACATGAGCAGCTTCCGGCGGATATAACCCCACAAAGTGCCTTGGAAAAGGATGAGGTTCGGAATGTGTTTACTAGAGACTATCTAAACTTGTGGATGCTCTTTCAATTACTTATTTGAATTAGCATATATTTGAAAAACGTATTTGGAAGATTTTATTTTATTAAGTTCAGTTTTTAAATCTCATGTATGAGTTATAAACATAAAAATAAAGTTTTAAATAAGATATAATTTTTACAGAGATGGCAAAGCTTTTATCCTGCTTTTTGCCATAAAACATTAAAGTTCTCCCTGGGAGAGAATATAAAGACTGCCTTTCAATGCCCTTAAAACTTTCGCTCCGCTCGTAACGAGCCCCGAAAAAATATGCAACGCACTCCTTTTGACGTTACTTGGCGAAAAATTGCCAGAAGGAGCCAGAGATTTACAATGATGGGGCAAAGTGTGGAAGAGTGAAGACGTTCCTTTGACCCCCTGGCTACATAAAATTTAATTATGCCATAGACACCGGTTCAGACTGAAAGACTTCCACACACCCACCCAGAGAGAGTGGGAGGACGAGAGCCATAAAGGCGTGCGAAAAAGGGCAAGAAAAAGGTTTATCCCCCAAAAAACTCCCAAGGATTCCCAGAGTCGAGGTCGTGCCAAGTGCCCTAATTGAATTTGCTACGGTCAGCATCAGCATTATGACCATCACAATCATCATCATCATCGTCGTCGTCGTCGTCATAATCATCGAGATGCTTAGGGACTTGAAATTGAATTTCAGTTACGGGAAATACATTTGCATTGATTTGCTTTTCCTCTCGACGGTTTTTTTTGCCTCTTTTATTTTGGTAGAATTATTTTTATGCGTCTGGGCGAAACGAAACGCATTGCCATTAATAAAAATTTCCTTTGAATTTTGATTGCTTTATGCCCACTCTCAGAAAATTTCTTACACCTCGGCCCTTGGTTCGTTATTGTTGTCTGCGCCTTTTTGTTGATTATTTTTATTTACTTTGTCTTGTCCTTTTCGATGGCGGTGTCTTGTCCTGTCGCATCCTGTCCGCTGCTTAAGTGGAAATTGAAATTTTCATATTTTCATTTGGTAATTTATTTATTCTTTTGGTCCTCCGCCTGACGACAGCTCAAATAATTTATGCAAATATTTAGCGGTGGCGTGTGCTGCATATTTTGGGACAGGCCAATTTGTGAACGCTCCGCATCTTGTTTTTTTTTGGTTTTTGGTCTCTTCTGGTGTGAGTTTAATTGTTTTCGATAAGTTGATACCAGTTTTTTTTTGTTAAAGTTTTTGTTGGTCAAAACAACAATGACTATCTTTTAATAATATCTTGCCCTCGCCTTAAATCTTTTAAAGACATTACTAGAGGAGTTTACGTGTTAATCATATGATTATCACAGCTTTGCTTCGTCTTTAATAATTGACATGGCTTATATGTCTATTAAAGTTCCTTTTCAAAACCCCGTGGAGTTTTTCCCTTGAGCTTTTCAGCTGCTCTTTGCAGCTGCTGTGATGGCAAATCACTCTCTAATTAAACGTGAGCACCCTATACTTTCCCCTATTTTTCGCCATTTAACCCTTTAGCCGCATACATATTTATAATGCGAATAAATTCGCAAAAATGCATGCAACAGTATATGGTTATTTGCCGTTTATGCAGCAAATTTGAAGCCGAGTTTATGGGGTTGAAAAAGGGCTGGGAAAATATGGGAAAAAAAGTAGTAAAGAGAAAGGTTTGAAAACTTGTGGTGAACCGCATCGCGTTGCGTTTTTGAGCATTAAATTGCTTGATATATCGCCTTAGTTTTTCCTCGCGACTTTTCTCCCGGATTTCGCCCAGCCACTTTCTAGCATGGACATTTCTTCAGGATCCCCTTTCGCGATTCTCATCTTCTTGCTCTCTTGAATTATGCTTTGCTTCTTTGTCTCGTTTTAAATTTCATAATGCACATTTTATAATAATTTTTCGTCTACTTTGCTGCAATTTTGTGCAATTTTTTACTGTAATTTATGTAACTATGTGTGTGTGTGTGTGTCAGAGTGTGGGTTTGTAGCCTTCTCTCAACTTTCTTGCTACAGTTACAACAATTTTGCCCAGGGAAAAGGGCGAAAGCGAAGCGGTTTGTGTGTCGGGCGTAATGTTGAGTTATGGCAGTTTTGTAGTTTGCGAAAAACTTTTTTACGAACGTCTCTCTGTCTCACTTTTTCCCTCTGTTCGGGTATTTAGTTAAATGTTCGTAAAATTGAGTGTTGGTTATATTTTACTGGAACTTTCGCTATCCATGTGGTGGGACCAGCCATACCCTCCCCAAAATACAATCGCCTTTAATCGATTTGGCAAAAGCAATAAGCAAAAACTTTTATAAATACTGAAGTTTGTTTTAGTTTTTCCTGACGTCCAAGAACACTCTCTCTCCCTGCCAATTTGTAATTATCCATCAGAGCTTTTAACTTTACGACTTTATCAAGGGCCATTTCAGCTTTTGTTTTGGCTTTAAAAGCCAGCTGGCCAAAAAAGAAAAACTGGCCAATTATTAGGGCTGTAAACGTGGCAAGTTTGGCCATAAAAACTGAGTGTGAGGAGTGTAGATATAGTGCCTGTAATATATTGCCTCTGTCCAGACTTTATTAGACTTATATCAATTTGTTTTTGGCTTCAGTACTTATTAAAGTTCGAGGCTCTTTATTTATTTACACGGATCATAGTTTTATTTGACATGTGTAAATATAAGCATTCCATAGCTTTATAGGTTTTGATAACAAATTACTTTTAAACTTAAAACCAAAAAATTGATATGCGTTAATATCAAAAGTAAGATAAATGATTTTTTGGTTGAAATTAATATGTCGGCTGTGTCGCATAAACTTTTGGTCCACTTCACCCAGCCAGTCAGTCAACCATATATCAATCCATCAATCAATCTTTTCATCCATTTGAAAGAATGGAACTAGAAGTTGATAAATTTAAAGCCCAAAAGCGACTACGAACTAAGTGTAGCTAAATGTAACGCATAGCGTAAATAAAAACCCAAAAACGACGCTACTAAATTATGTTTGCCGTTTGAACAGTGGAGCGGAGATACTGAGTTTAAGGGTGAATAAGGGACAGAAGTGCAGAGAGATGGAAAATGGGAAAGCTCTTCCGGCAGTTGGAAAAGCGCCCACGCATGCCACCAAATTGCAGCCACAATTTGCTGCAACAAACTCAACTGAAAACTGAAAATGGAGCAGGCCCATGGAAAGGCATACATCAAATGTGTCAAAGAGATTTGTTATGCATGACAGGGGCCTGTGCCAGCCAGCAAACTCGCAAAAAATGGCATGAGGAACCATGAGCGTTCAGGAATGAGAAGAACTATGAGTTACCCCTCAATCTAAAGCTAACTATAAGTAAATATAGTTCTTTAATTATGATTCCGCGAGGTAACTTATTTTATTTTAGTAGTTTTAACTTCAAATGTAATATAAAATTTTAATAAATTTCAATTCCTAAGATAGAGTACGAAAGATAACTATATATTCCAGGGAATGTGTCAACAAGTTTTGCATACTGAAAACACCCATTAGTAATTACAGTGGGAGCACAGGTGGCACTGAGTAAAAGTAACATGTACGTGCGCCAACTGTTTCCAAGAATGAGGAATCTTTGAATGCAGTTCAGTGCGTTGCTTTATTAAACCGAAGCATATCCAAACTTCTTCAAAATACTATACTGATGTCAGTGTCAAGATGAAGTTGGGAGTGCCTGAAATGAGTAAATCAACAACGTCGTTTCCCCGTTAGCAAAAACAAAGTGGGAAATACAATTTAAAATAAAATGGGACTAGATCAAATTAGTTTTCTTGATGAAATTGAGAAACTCGTCTTTAGTAATCTCGCCATTACCATTAACGTCGGCCTCATCAATCATTTCCTGCAGTTCCTCGTCGGTAAGTTGTTCGCCCAGCTCCTTGGCGACGCGCTTCAGGTTTTCAAATGTAATGCAACCAGTGCGATCGTCATCGAAAAATGAGAAGGCCTTCATCATATCCTGATTGGAGTCCTTTTCGGCCATTTTTAGGCGCATCAGATATAGGAAATCGTTAAAGGCAATCCTGCCCGTCTTGTCCTTATCGATTTCATCCATCATACGCTTAATATCCTCCTTTTTCGGTTCGAATCCCAAAGCGCGAATAGCCACACGCAGTTCCTTGGTTTCGATGAAGCCTGTGCATTGGGTATCGAATAAATCGAAGGCCTTCTTAATGTCCACCTTTTGCGACAGCGAAAGGTCAAAGGTAGGCAGCTTATTTTTCTTCGGTTTTTTACCCTTACTGGCGATCGATCCGGTCGATTGCATCACACTTGCAGTGGATGTCAAGCTGTCTAAACGTTTGCCCGCCATGGCAATCGAGAAATTATTTAAACTAAAAGTCGACAAAAATATCGCTTTATCGAGAACAACACTATGAGAGTGTGAATGTATACTGTATACAAATAGGGCGGGCTGTTCAAACTGGCCGACAGTTAAGGAATTGACTTACTTGATCGATACTCGATTATTTTTTTTTGGCTACTTTGGTTGAATATCACAAAATCCCTTTCTTATCCCAATTTTAAGTTCATAATCATTTTCACCAAACACTGTAATATTGTTTTCAAAATATTTAAAAGGCTTGAAAAGCTTTATAAGTAGGCAACTGAGAGTACTCTGACTACTCAAGTTGCATAAAAGATTGGACGCTGGCTTTAAGTAATCTCTGAAATTTATACAGCATTTGCCACAACAATCAACTCCTCCGACTCCCCTTGGAATCACGGAATCGGCCTGGAGACGACCTGATGCCTAGGGAGTCAGTGGGTGTGGCAGGTGTCAGTCAGTTGGTCCTTAGACTACAACATCCTACCTACTACGTGCCACGCTCTGTTTGCTTATCGCATTTGCCTGTTGCAGGAGGCCAAAATTTGGCTGGAATTTCAGGTGGGGGCACGTGCCGCTGGCTGCTCATGATTACAATTACAATTACACAAAGTGGAGCGGGGATTTCACTCACCTGAGGGTCTCCTACCGCGCCACCTGTTCCTCCGCCCGATCCCATTCCCAATCCCAATCCGATTCCCAATCCCGTTTCCATGCCAGTCAGCGATAATTTACGATTACGCTCGCGCTCCAGTCTCATGAGTATCTGCGCGTTCTGTTCGCAGGAGTAAGTGTGCTTCTTGCGCTTTCGTTCCAAACTGTACTCATACAGCGGCCTGGCCGCATTCGGTTGCAAATCCAGCTGGGCCTCATCGCCAGCATCGCAGCTGCATAGGGACTGATTGGAGCGGCCCTTGCTGCGCCTCAGTGATCCCCGGTTCGACGACGAGGGTGTCAAGCGCTGTTCGCTCACGAAATTCGAGAAGGTCACCACATTGCCAGAGGAACCTAAAGTAGAAATTAAATAACTTTGATTATTGCTAAGAAAATTAATATAAATAATGATTTCATTAATTATTTTACAATCAAAACTGTTGGCATTAGATAAAAATATTTATCATATTTTATTCTTTTTATTCTGTCTTCATTAGAGAGAAAATTCGCGCATTCCTTCCGAAACATCCGATACTTAAATTTGATTGACATTGATTGGGCTGAGGTATTTTATTACCCTCTCATTAGAGTGTAACCCACCTGTTGTGGCTCCTTTTCGCTTGGAAGGTGAGACGTAGAAGATGTCATGTTCATCGAATTCCACGCTCCGCTGAGTGGTTATGGCAGCGCCACCGCTATTTACGCCACCACCAAGTGCTGTGGTTGCGGTGGCCGTGCTGCTGCTGGTGGTGCTGGCCGCACTGTTGCCACCACTGCTCAAGTTGCAACCATGATCTGCCAAGGCGTGCAACATGGGATGAACCTGTCGATCTCTCAGGGAATGCTGCTTGTGCAGGCCATTAGCTCGTCTTAGCTCTGTCATCGTCCTGATTTCACTCTGTCCTTCTTCTTTTTATTCCCGGAGCCGGCTTATTGTCATCACTGTGCCTCTGCTCATGAAATATTCATGCCACACTCCTCCGCGACTTGGGCATTAGCATATCACTTTGATTTCAAACTGGTTTGCTATATTTTTAATTTTAAATTTGGCCTCTTGCTAGCTAAGCCGGCTAACGATTTCCTTGTGTCAATACAGCAGATTCTCAATCCGATTTGCCAGCTAACTGTTTCAATTCTGGCCCGTGCCCCTTGTCGTCTTGGCCCTCTCATTGCCGGCTCTTCCGAATTTCTTATTTTTTTTTGTATTTTACACTGCTTACATTCTTTTGCTTTTCTCTGGATTTCGTGTTTCTGAGATTCAGCTTCCTTTTGGCGGCCTGTCTTTGTTTGCCCTGTTAATAGACTTGGCTTAGTCGCCGCCGGTTGTTTGTCTATAATAACTGCAAAGAGACAGGCAAAGAGTGAGAGATAAGATTAGGCTTAGGCGATATATGTGCTGAAAAGTCTATTCTAAATTGATTTCATTGTTTGCCAGAGTATCAGAAGGAGTGTGTGCTTGTAAATATGTACAAATAATTTATGGCAGTTATTTACTTGTTTATCAAGGATTTTTCCACAGCAAGCCAAGGAGAAAATTCATTGAATCAATTTTTGGGCATCAATCAAGTTTTGTTTTATCAAAGAACAGACCTGAATTTTATTCCATCTTAAGGCTGATAATAAAATTATAGTACAACATAAAAGTTATTAAACTGCGTTTTAAAAGCTTATTGAAAAATCGGATAACGGATAAACTTTTACCTTTTATATTATCTAACAATATATATTTTATTCACCTGTTGTTAAATTACCGAACATCTTTTGCCAATTAGCTGTCCTTTGGTCTATTGATTTTTTAGGCGCGTGTTTGAAAAGTTATTTTATTTCTGATGTCCCAGTCGATTGAAGTTTTTTTTTAGCGCCCTTCAAGTAATTTAAGCCCAAATTGGAACGCCTTATGCTAGGCAACAACATTTTCCCCAGCCACTTTCTAATATTTTTTGATGTCAAACTTTTCGCATAATCGATGGCAACTTTTTAATAAGCAAAAGCCGGCGAAACGAAAACAAAAGCCCAAAACAAATATAATAATCAAGAAAACGGAAGGGAAAGGCGAAAGGAATTTCTTCGAGAGGATAAATAATGGAATGGCATGACAGTTAAGCTCCCCAGAAAGTATGCAATGTAATAATAACGTTAAAAGATAATGAGAACAGGCTAAATAGCAACAACAAGTGGGTTCGGTATGGAGATTTCACCGATTTTTGTGTTACAATATACAAACAAATATATATAATTGGGCGATTCGACACAAATGGGGGGGGTGGGTATAAATATGAAGGGAAACAAATAGGCAACTTGAGTTAACTTACATGAGTCACGCCAGCCACCCTTCGTGTGCGTATATATATTTGTGATATTTATCGCTTCTTAAGTATTTTTAAGAAGTTTGCCATCGCCAAGTTTTGTCGACAGGCAACGGCAAAAACCAAACAAGCAACAACCAAACACCAACAAGCATTTTTATCTTGGGCATATTTCGAGAGGCACTTCACTTGTCACAAGTCTCGCCAGGGACCAAATTGTTGGGGACTTCTGTTTGGGAGCAGGGAGCCCATCTCAAAACATTCTTTTTGGGAAAAGTTTTGAAGGCTTTAATCAACTTGTGGCACTTAATGAGCGCCTGTAATGAGTTAATTGTTTCACATTGTTTTGCAGCTTCAGAACGGTTAAATGTTTCAGATAGTTGGCCACTGGGTTGGTTTTCTGTTAAGTTTCAGTTTTCTGAGCAATTCTGTTTTGCAAAATGGTACATTTTTTCAACTTATTCCTATCAATTATATCTTTTTTATAAAAGTGTAGCTAACAAATACATTTGAATTTAAACATATCTTGACTTTTACCACATCTGCTTAAATTTTTATTATTTCGCATTCACATATGATCCATTTTTTACTCGGTTTACGAGACCTTTAACTTGGCTGGATTAATTAATTTTGGCATTGATACGTACGGTACTTTGCTTTTGTGGGATATGTTCTATATATCTGTAAAATGGTTTTATGTCCAGGTCGTAAAGTGCCAGGCCCTTCGCCCGATAACTAGCATAGAAATGGAAATAGGGGAAAACCAGAAAGGACAGCGCCAAACTCAAATGAAAATCTAATTTAGAGCAACACGCACTAAATGTGCAAGGGAAAGGGAAAAAAGGGGATGGAGATAGCAGCACAAGTGATACATGGGTTCATCGCAGGCATTAAAAGCTTCGTTCTGCCTTTCATTTGCGTTTAAAGACCTCAAAAAGGACTTCCGCCTGCACTGGCCTACAAATTAACATGGCCCAATCTGTGACTGTCTCTGTGAGTCAGTATGGGTGCTGGAGTGTGAGTAAATGTGTGAGTGTAAGTGTGTGGGTGGCATGAATTATGAGTAAAGCAGCTGCAGACTTAATGGAAAAAGCTCCAGCCGGGCCAAGAGTTTTTGGCCAAGAGCACGCAAAGCGTAAATTAGAAGAAAGCTAAAAAAAAGCGACATGCAAAGTTCATTTTGGAGAAGAGAAATTTCTATACCCTTTAAGTAAAAATATAATATATATATTTTTTAAAGCTACGGAATTATATCTTTACATAAGTATATAATTTTTATTATTGAATACCCACAAACTTACATAACTAAGGATATTATATACCTCTGCTGAGTACACCAAAATATAAACCTAAATTCCCAAAGCTCCCTCGTAATCACGCATGTGTATGTGCACGAGTGTGATGTAATAAGTTGTTGTAATGCTCGCGTAACTCATAAATTAGACACGATCTATTACGGACAGATTTATATGCATGAGGAGTCAGAGACAACAGGCCAGAAACAAGAAGCATATAACTTGATAAACTTGGCAAGAAATGAGTGGGTGTCATTTTTAATTTTTGACACGTAGTCTTAACCGAAAAGCCCGAACATGTGTTCTTGACATTGCAAATAAAAATATCAAAAAATAAAATAAAAAAAAAACGCTACGCAGGAGCGTAAAATGTACAAGAATTTTAAAATTCCAATTCAGGGCAAGAGGGATCGTATAATGAGTTCTCTGGCGACGGGCCATAAATACCATTTGGAGTGTATGCAACGCCCATAGGTGGGCTATAAAAATTTGTTCAACACGCACACGTACAACCCGCACACAGTCACACGCACACGCACTGACACATATAAGCTTATGCATACAGGAGCAAATCAAATTTATTTTATTCAAGTTTTTTTCTCTTTGCTTTCTGCGATGCTGCCATTTTTATGACAGCGCAGCAAATTAATGAAATTTACGCAATAAATCATTTCGCCAGAGAATACAGCAGAAATGTACTTAGAATGAGACAGATAGAACAGCACCAGAGCGAGAGGCAACACTAGAAAATGTATATTAAACAAATACAAGTACGGTTCAAAGGCTGTAAAGTTAACCAAATATTGCAACAATACGCCAGAAAAAAAGCATAAACATTGTTGTAACAATAGAAACCAATGTTTGCAGCTCGTTCTTAAAATGGAATTTATGATATAAACGGCTGGCTTTGTTTGTATTTAATTTAAGAACGGCAATTAAATTAATTTTAGCAAACTTCACCAATTTGTTTCACATTTTAATTTATATTTCAGTTCAGTTTGTGTAATTAGGTGTGAAATATTCATTGGTAAAATTAAACACAAATTTGGATTTATCAAGTGAGCTTAAACAAGGTGTTGAGGTATACATTCTTTTAAATTGAATAAAAATTAGCTATATCAAATGGCAATACATTTTCTCTCATTTATTTATAAAGGGTCCTTTAATATGTTCTAGGACGATTCCTGTGTAGCTTCTAATCAATTTCAACAAATTCCCGCTGCATTTCGCCTCATTACGGAATTTATTTTCTCATCCAGCTGCCTTTGGCTAAGCTGCCACATTTATTTAAACGAAAACTTTCGCAGTTTCAGCTTTTGGATGCCGGGCTTTGCAACACCCCTCTGGTCCACTTTCTGCACATTTAGCAATCCCATTCGCAACTCATATTTTTAGACTTTGCCCCTAAGTGCGTTGACTGCACTTTTGGCGCTACCATAAAACTTTTTCGGGCTCACTGACCTTCCCCCAGAAAGCACCCGGAATTTTCGCCACCCCACAAATAGTCATCTGGCTTTGTGGAGACCGCCTTCCAAACTCCGAACGCCCCTCGTTTCTATCTCGTGTAATTCAGCTTGCATCCGTTTCTAAAAAGTTACGCTGCACCCGAAAATTCAAGTGGTTGGACCAAAGGCTTTTAGCTGACTTAACACCAGCAAACTCGCATAGACAAACATTCTCCGATGCACAAAGAAAAAAGATTGTAGGTTCCTTATAGAATCTTTAATTCTATTTGAATTTGATTATTTTTGAATTTTATAAAATTGTAGTTGGGCAAGGATAAGTTATTCTGATTAACACATCATAAGAATTTAAATGCTAATTATGATATACCATTGAATTAATATAGTACGTAATAGTTTTGTTTTCAGTGCCTTTAGAAGCCAGCACACATGCACAATTCGCTAATATATTGCAGACCCCATCCTGCGCTTTCACTTCCCCTCTTTTAGTGGCCTCATAAAGCTTGAGCTTAAGCATGTCGCAAAGAAAGGGTTTCCTGCTTTTACCGAAAATTTGCAAAAAAAATGTCGCGCTTGGAAATTGTGCGTATATATGTGTGACTTTTGTGGATGCAAAATATAAAAAAGGAGCTTGACAATGGCGAGCGTGACTTAAAATAAAGAAATAACTTACAGCATAGTTCAAGTCAAACAATGCGCGACATTTTCTCAAAGAATTTTAACATGGGTAGACGCCCCTTTTCCCTTAGGATATAAGTGGGCGTGGCAATGCAGTCTTGGCCAGAAATTTGAATTTTTAGCAGCTAAAGACCCCCAAATTCAGCGTTCCTTCGTTTGCCCTCTATTTGTGACAGTCAGCCCCAAAAGTTTAGCCTTTTCCTTTTTGTTTTTGGCATCTTTTGTGGATGAGGCTTAAAGAAGTCTTTTCTGGTAGTTTTTTGTTATTTTTATTTATGACTAAATGCATTTTTTGAGTGCCCTCTGACTTATTTACGTACCTCGAATCAGTTTTAGTCCTTTGTCTCTATTGAAAGTGACTGCAATTCTAGAGTTACTTGACTTCTTCGTATTGAAGTTCTGTTCTGAAATATAAGAAAAAAGCATTTTGTTTAATTTTTATTTCCATCAAAATGTGCTTAAGCTTCAAACGTTAAAAGCATTTATAAATTAGATTTATCTGTTTATGCTAAAGCCAATTTGTTTGCCTTCGACATATAATATTAATGAAATTTAAATATCGAAATTGTCATAATTTAAAACACACATGTCTTCATATTCATTCTCATTAATTACATTAGCAATCTTAATATTTAACTACTGCTTCCGGGCAAAAAACACAAACAAATTGGTTTAGATTGTCGGCCAACTCTGTATGCAATTTAATTTAAATAATTTTTGTTTGTGCCTTGGCCAGAGTTGCTTTTGGCTGCGGCGTTGCATATTTGCATGATATTAATTTGCATAATTATGTTGGCCATAAAGAAATGCTGGCTAGCAATTATAGAGTTGGCAAACACACACATAGACACTAGCAGGAAAAAATAAACTCAATGCAGTTGCCAAACACACACACACAAACACACTGTCTGTCATAACTAATATAGAGTTATTTATCCCCTAGGACCGATTTATATTACTTCCCCGTTAGCCATGAGGTCCTCGCTGTTTTTTCTAGAGGAGGTTAGTGCTACAAGGTCTTTGCTGCTCCACATTTTCCGCTCGGCTCCGTAAATTTATCAGTGTCAAAAAATAATAGCGCGCCCGGTTTCGCTTTTAATAATTTCCCCTGCCGAGTCGAGCATTTGGAGCGGAAATTGCCGCTGCTCGAGTTTCGGTGCCGGGTCGTTTGGGGCCTTGAAAACAATGGTCAGATGCAGAGCTGCACTCAGGATATACTCGTACCTACCTAAATTATTTCAATTCCAAAAGCTCACCGAGAAAATTCGCTGGAGGGGAAAACAACAGACGACCCGGATTCCCAATCGCATTTACTTGTTTGTGTCAGCATTAAAATGTTCATTAAATTAATGTAATTTCACTCTCTGCCAGAAATTTCTTGCCCGATTTGAATTGGATTTATTTGTTTGTTTTACATGCCATATTGGCAGCTTTTGACATTTCATGTATAAATTCAATTATTGTGCATTCTGTGTGCTCTAATTAATATTATTTGTTAATAGCATCCCTTCAATATAATGGCTTTCGAAATTTGATATAAAAGCAAGGTTTTTATTTATTTTAGTAATTTAAAACTTGAATTTATGAGGTGAAATTCATTGTATTTATTTTGTTAATGGAATTGTTTATAATTTGGTTATTGTTTTATCAATAAATGCAGAGTAGCTAACTCTAATTAAATTTAAGTTCTGCGATGACGCAATAAGACATTTATTTCAGGTTATCGTATCGAAAGCCAGGATAGTTTTCCTCTGTCGGCCATCTATTAAGATTTCATAATGCGGTCCATGCTTTTGTTCAACTGTCCGCACATTAAGCAGCCGAAACTTTGGACATAAATTCAAGACCTTGCTCTCATAAATATTACCCACTTACATAGATGGGAGCCAGCATAAAATATGCAGCATCGAAAAGTTCTTGTTGTTTTCCCTTTGGCTTTTCTCGGGCTGAGCTATTGACTAAATACTTTGGCAAATTCATAAATTTAAGCACAACGTAATAACATAAATATTTAAAAAATGCCAAAAACCAGAAGAACAAAATTTGTTGCACGGCAAAATTGAGTTGGAAAGTTTTGTTCGAAGAGAAGGGGCATATGTCCATCCCCGAAACTTTATTGGCTTGATTTTTTGAACGTCATAAAAGCCAAAGGGACAGCAACTTGGGCAGCTTCTTTCTTATTCATGGGTATGGCTCATCAAAGCCTACTTAATGCCCAATATTGGGCATGGCTTAAACAGTTTTGACCATTTCATGAGCTCAACTTTGTCGGCAAAAACTTTTTTTTCTTTTTTTTTTTTGGATATTTATAAGGCTGCTGGTGGGGAATCCACATTGATATTAAATAGCGGCGGGCAGTCGAAAATTCGAGCATTAATATGCAGCGTTGAACTCGACTTCAATGGCTAGGTGAAACAATTATAGAAGGTGGGGAAGTGCACATGCCAAAAATATTTTTTTAAAATTATACAAGCTAGATGGAGTACTCAAAACATTCTGCATGTTTCATCTTAAGTCATCTTTGTAATCAATTACAATCTTATCAATTGTATTTTTCAAAACTTTTGGACCAAAAGTCCACCAAACGTCGATATCCATTTATGGAAAATGTTATCAACATTTCTCACAGTGCAGCCGGCCTAAATGGTTGATATCCTGTCGGAGGTGTTGTTTGGTTCCATTATCACAAACACACACAGTCTCGTGTAGCATTAGACTTTAATAAGCCAATAAGTTTGCTTTCAGGTATCCCGAGAACTGCTCAAGACATCCTTATCCTTAGCCCCGAACCTTGGAGAGTGCATTAATATTTATGCCTATACTCCACTCAGGACTTGTTCTCTGGCCATGCGTGCGTTATAAATAAAATTAAATGTATCAGTTAGGTTGAATTTTTGGCTCTGTATCCAAAAAGGAGTTCGGTGTCGATAATTCTACTTGGTTTTCGGGATAATGAGATTGTGGGTAGTGGTGGTGGGACGATTGGTTGGTTTCCTACTTGGGTTAATGATGCAGTCGTTAGGGTGGAGACTCACCCTTAAGGAAGATGAAAAGTAATGTCTTATGACCGTAGCTGTAATTAGGTTTTGGGCATAACTAAGTGGAATGCTGCATGCCATCAGTGATTCAGAGGGGGGATTTATTATGCACTGGTTTTCTTAAAGATGTAAGGAAGTGAAGATGATTTGAAGTAGGAAGTGTAACAATAAAGAACTCCTTTACTGAGATTGATTTTACACCGAAGTCACAAAGTGTTTCCTCAAATGATGCTCTGATAATTCGCTTTCTCTTTTCGATTTAAATTTGCACAGAACATCCAAAAGTTCTCAGTTTGTCTTTAAGCTAAATTACTATTTATGTAGTTCCACATAGCTAACTAACTAGCTTCAGTTGCTACTTTACTGACACTACTTATTTTTCACTTTATCTACAAGCTCCCTTTCCCCACCCTCGATTATTGCCCTGCTAAGTATGCAACACTTTTGCCCCGACTTTTCTACGCTTTTCCTTTAGTTTTTCCTGTGTTTTCGTGCAGGCACCTTATCTATTCGAGGTTGTGTGCTTGTGGTATCAAATAACATCTTTATCAAACATTTTTGTGTTACATGCACGCGACTGAAATAAAAATAATGATCAAGGCAAGTAGGGAAAAGAGAAGAGGGTAACTGAGAGGGGGAAAGGATGGCATATTCGTGGCTTTTCTACTACCAACGCGAAATAACAACAGCAATAATAACAACAACAACCTCAACAGTTCAAAGAATTAACTCACATGCCTGGCATAATAAACATAACAGCTTCAGCCTTGGCTTTTGTTTTTGGTGCCGCCAATACCCAGGGATTGCTCAGTAAGGGGGTATATTAAATTATTACATCTTTTGTAATTATAAATCAATAAAAATGGTTCTTGTAGAATAAAAAAATGTATTATTTTATAATTCTAAATGTGTTGTATTTCTATAAAATAAGTTTTTGTTGGGTATTTAGCAGTCTGTAGATCTTTTTATATATTTTTACCAGCGCCAGTTTTATGTTTGCTTTACTGTCGCTGCCTCTGTTGTTGTTTATTGTTGGTGGTTCTCCTTGGCTGCCTTTCTGCTTTCATTTGGATGGTTAACATGGTCTCCTTTACCGTTACACCCTCCTTCGAATTCACCCACCGAAGAGACAGCCTTGGGAGACGTGGAGAACATGTAGGGAAATGGCAGAAACTTGTAGCCTTTCGGCCTTGTTCATGAAGCTATCGAAAGCAATGCACAAACAACATAATTAGTGGAGAGCTGCAGGGGTGGATCCCGGGGAATCACCAGGTTCTCAAGAACTCCTCTGCTAATTGAGCAGCTTGTACCGCACAATCGAATTAATTTATTCTGACTGGAAAAACTTCAATCAATTCGGCCCGCAATTTCCTTTCACGAAAATTATGACTTAATGCAGCCGAAGACGTTCTGCGTTCCCAATGCTGAGCCAGAGTTGGAAAATTAATTTCCCAAGTGCATTATTTAGCCGGGGTGGTGGGTAAATATTCTCCAGTGCCAGCAGCGCATAAATCGACGTAATGGCAAATTGTAGCTTGTGGGGAAAAAGAAGGTAGAAAGAAGCTTCACATAATGCGAGTATGATGAAAAATGAAAGCCAGGCGGGAATGTCGGAATTTCGGGGACTTCAGAGAAACCCAAAAGTGTTCAGCTTCTGACTTTTATGGTTATCAAATCTCAAATCTAAGCAAATCTGGGTGGGCTTTAACTGAGATTGCTGTTTGGAAAATATGTTCGCTTTATCTTGTCAAAGTTTCTTTGATTTCTATTTAAATGTTTTTTCTTGAACTGAAAGTATTTAGTAAGCTTTTAGGAAGATTTGTCAATGGTTTCAAGAACTTTTTTGTTCCCTATGACTTGGTTAAGTAGTTCTCTTTGACCTAAATTATTGTTGAGAGTTAATAAAATAGTTTCAGAGGGTTTAAGCAAAATATTGAACTACCTTATAATATAAAAAACTTTTTTTAACGATGAAATGGCTAACTTTTCTTTAAGGCAAATGACATTTCAAAAGAAATCAATAGATCTTCTTCAGACAAAACAATTTTTTATTTCCCCCTTGTCACGTTTTTTTCCTTTTCCCTTCAGACTCTTTTAACCATCTATCATATTTGTTGCTTCCAGCATGTGGTGAAAAAAAAAACGAGTATAACTTTAACGCTCATTTAGCCGGAGGCTTTAAAAAAGGTTGCCTGACAGGCGCCTTTGGTTGCCCACCCTTCGGTTTTCATGTCTGACTGTCTATCTGTCGCATTGTTGGCCTTTTTCCCGGCTTTTCCTGACTGACTGAGTGTGGCAGCCATTTTGCCAACATACTGACTGGAAAAATGGAAGGAGACGGAGAGTGGCGGGCAGAAAAAAGAAAG